GACACTTCAAAATATGTAAAAAAAAGAGTTTGAAGGTTTACGGACTTTTTTCAAGTTTTCAAATTTCGCATTTTTCAGTTTTGAATCTTAGAAAAAGTTTTTCGAAAAAAGACAATGTTTCCACATCTCGAGACGCTCTATTGATTGATCACAAAATCGAAGTTTCAAACTGAAAAGTAAAAATTTTATTTAAATTTTAAAAAATAGGCAAAAGAAAACCGAAAAAAGTCCGTAAACCTTCAAACTCTTTTTTTTACATATTTTGAAGTGTCCTCTACAATCTGAGGAAGTTTAAACCTGATCTAAATGGAGGATTCAAATCTTAAGGCGGAAAAGTTTGGATTTGAATAGACTTTCACAGTTCATGAAAGCCGACGTAAGTCCATTAAAATTCAAAGTTTGCATTTTTCTCCTTGATTTGTCACCTCGTCTAATATTGTTTCAGATGTAAACATTGAAATCACATGTAACAATTGAAATAACTGTTTCTTCTATTGCGATCAAGAAATAGATAATTCATTCGTTCTCATTGCTAGAAAAATAGATCCTTCAATTTATAATTTGTTTTTTTCCACTAGTTGTATCAAATAAAACTGATTTTACTGATCTTTCAATTATATGAAATGATTAATGTGTCAGATGTGTTTTAATGATAACACGAGCAGCTATTGGGAAAATATTCAGTTTTCACACCATAGATGACTAGAACACACATTTTTATCAATTTACAAAATCTATGTCCAACAAAAAATTGTATTGATATTTGATTAGTGACAATAATGAGAAGCATTTAATATCATCCAATTAACAAAAATTGAAATTGAGCGACATTTTTTTGCTGAATGAAGTAAACTCGGATAAAATAAAAATCAAGTTTAAAAATTATGTTATTCTTTACTCTTTAATTAAGAAAGATTAAATAACAGCCCTATGAACGATGTTATAAAAATGAACGGCCGAACTGTCATTTGAAGTTTGGAATTAGTGAACTTTCAATTACTGCGTAGATATTTTTTTAACATTGATACCATCGATTTTTTTCTGTATTTTCATAGTCAGTTTTGTTTAAGATGCATTTTGTTGTACAATAAAACTCGAAAGATTAATCAAAATATTCTCCATTTAATTTTTTTTTACAATATCTCAATTTATCAGAGACAATTGAATAACACTAGTTATATCAAAAATCATGATTCTTTCTCACTCTTTCACGCATTCTCCTTAATTATTTGTATATCGTTTCTTCATCAGAAAACATTTTAATGAAATATTTCGCGTATAGAATAATAATATTATTAATAATTTCAATATATGAATAAAACACGAAAAACATTGAATATATCTAATTGTTAATATATCATATTAAAGTTTACAAAGTTAGAAGATACGTGTGATGTTTTTATCTTCTAGAACAAATTATTTTATCTTTCTAAGAAAAAACGTATACGACTATTTTTAAATAATATAATTATTAAAATCAACTTGCTATTAAATCTGACAAAATTTTTTAGTAGTCATTGTATCGTCTATCAATGGATATAGTGATTTTTGTATATAAATAGACGTTTAAAATAAAAAAAAGGAAGAAAAAAAAAGAAAAAAGACTATATATATATACTTTGTCTTTCAAATAAAGAAAGAAACGCGAGAAGAAAAAATATAACGAGAAGAAAAAAAATGAACAAACTGTAAAGCATCATGTACAAAGATGACAAAAAAAAAAAACAATCATGTCAGAAAACATAAACATCCATGTTGAAATTAGACAATATCCCAATTGTTTTTTTTTTCATACATTTCACATTTATTCTAGCAAAAAAAAAAAAGAAAAGAAAGAACGACAAACAAGCGATACATGCACCTCTACGCACAACTTGAGCAAAAAATACAAAGGAAAAAAAAATGCATTAGACTATCGCTAGAATAATTGGAAAAAAAATATATATATTGACAATGTGCGTACGAGTAGACCACAATATTGTACATCATAAACTGATGGTTTATTTAATTTATGCTCCTCGAATGTTCATTTGTCAAGGGAATGTATCATTCGAAGTTAACTCGATAGTATTCGTAGAGAGGAAGGATGAGCAAGAACACGTACACATACAAAACAAAAAAAAATTTTAATATTAAAGTAAAATTGTTAAATCTACAATGCGTTTACGCAAAAAAAAAAAAAAAAAAAATACAAGAAAAAATTGGAAGTGTCTATATGTGCTGAACGGGATAGTTTGATTGTTATTATCAAAGACCAGCATATACATACACACATACACACATACACATACGTACAGGCAAAAGAAAAAGAAAGAATAAAATAAAATCAATACTGTTGAAACACTATATAGGAAAAATTTAAAGCTTTTCTTATATTCAAACTAATCTAGCGATACAAATATTATGATTATTGATATTATAACACTTATAGACATAGAAAAAAATGAATGAGAAAAAAAAGAAGAGAAAATTTATATATCTTGTTTACAAAACAGAAACAAAACAAACAAAAGCACGAAGAGAAGATGTAGTAATAATAATAATAATAATAATTATTAATAATGATAATAACAACAACAATAATTGTTTTTCTCATCATTCTAAGAACATGATGATAATTCATTCCTGAATTTACTATTGAATATATTTTAATCATTCTCATTCTTCAATTAAACACGATTTTCATCATTTATACCACCAATTTTAATAGGTTTTCCACCACCATTTCGATTATCAGTGAAGTATTCGATAGGGACGATTGCTAAAGTACAAAGATAAAATAAATATCCAATGTTAAACATTTTGTTTAAGAATACTCCATGGTTTTTTCACCTTACTATTAGACCTAGGATGATGGAGCCGAAGTTTTCACTAGAGGAAAAAAACAATCGATATGTTCTGCTTGAAATTTTGTGACATTTTCTATTCTGCAAGAAGTTTTCTGATAAACTCTCATTTTCATTGGAAGATATTGCGTTCCCACCCTGCTGAATGCTTCATCTGATGAAATCAAACATTTTATAACAGATACCTAAGACAATATCTCGAATTGATAGTTTTCTTTGTTTTTGATCTTTTCATTTCACGTTATAGAATTTTTGAAATTAGAAACCTCGATTTCTGAGAAGAAAAAATCAAACACAAACGAGACCACTATTCTGAAACACTGTCTCAGATATCTGTTATAAAATGTTTAGCGTCGTCGAATGAAGTGTTAAGACAGAACGCAATGTAAACTACATTTTTCTACAAAACACAACGATTTTCTTTTTTCAATATTTTCTTCCTAGGCAGAAATTTCAGTTCCATCAGGTCTTCACCCCCAACATGGAAAAAGAAAGCGATACCCTTAATACACAAAGTAAATGATAATTTATGACTTGATTTACAAAATCTCATCTTAATCGTCTACTATAATAATTTTTATCCAAAAGAATATTTAACCTGAAGTTACTCGATAGAAGAATTTTTTAAGATGCCTGTGCAAAAGTGAATATTGCGAAAAGGTATTTAAAAGTAATTTTTAGAACTATTCGTTTTCTCTATAACAATTCAAACAATAAATATATCCAGTTATTCACTTATTTTCAAATTCTTTAATAAATACCATTACTTTTATTTCTTAATGGATCTTATACTATATGATTATTATCGGACACATCGACAGTTTTATACTGGTCATTGTCAAAGCACTTATCATCTTATTCAAAAAAAGAAAAAAAAAATTGATTAATTGATCCTTGTATCTAATAATTTATAATTTTATTATGGGTTAATTGGATGCGGTCTTTTTCATCTTTGTACATTATATGCCGCATTACAGAGTGCATAAAGTATTTTTTAGGTCAAATCAAATGCTAATAGATGTTCAGTAAAAAACAAAGAAAAGATAAAGAGGATGATAAATCTTATAAAAAAAAACTCTCATTATTGTACGTCATTTTCAAAGGCAAACAGCACGTTCAGATAACAACTCATTTAAAATGATATTAGAAGTGATGGACATGTACAGTGGAAATAGATTGTACTGTACACTCATTTCATACACATAAGCAGTACGCCGTTAGTTTTTCATCAGTTAAGTTTTCAGTAGTAAAATGATGTTCATGTTCAAATATAGAATTCTGAAGAATATGATCGTAAAAAAAACACCAAAGCCCATGATCAATCACAAATGTAATACAAGCAAATAAAGCAAAAATAGTCATTGTGAGAAACAGCTATGTTGCGTTTTTTCATTTTCGGAAAAAAAAATGTTCAGATAGCTGTCTTCTTCAACCAATTAATCAAATAAAACAAAAAACACAAATCTATCAGAATGATTACATGTAATCAAGGATATTTTTAGTTGCAATAATGATTACAACTAAACGTAATGGTGCATGCAAATAGTCTGTAATGCCAACTGTTTTCTAAAATCACACAAGTGTGACTACATTTATTTCTTTTTTCCTCTTACGATCAAAGTAATATAGAACTTGAAGGGTAGAAGTGCATATTACTCTGAGCGTTTGATATTTCATTTGTACTTAATTAGAACAAATGTGGAAATTGAAAGTTAGCCCCATCTTCACTTTGTGTTTGATGTAAGCATGAGAAGAACTTGATCAAGATTATTCAATATACAAGAAAATGTAAGCGTTCATAAGATCTGGCTGAGCTTTTTATATATTAAGCATAGATGTTGTGAATACGTTTACAGCAGTATGTCAGAGAGTGCTAACGTGTGCTGAATAATTGTTTTATACAATTAATAAAATAATTAATTTAGCCAGTATTATTTTTGCGTTGTTTGACAGTTTTCTTTATTGTATTGTCAGTCTCTTACCTATGAAGGGCATCGAGAACATGAGCTAAATATCATGGAGAGAGACAAAAAGATTTAATTTTAGAAGTTGATTACTATCTAATTAAATCGTGCCTCAGCAAAGGTTTATCCTCCATAGAACAAAACTCAAATTTCAGATGACTCTATTAATTCTGAATAAATTTTTCTAGTACGCTGAAAAATAGTCCCAGATTGAGTAGATCGTACTCAGTAAAAGAGTGATGTGCGATGCATTACTTAATTAGTATTAAAATTAGATTTGACAAAGTGAACAAATACACAGGAATAGATTCACAAATTCGCCTTCATGTCAACCTGTGAGCAACGCATTCGCATATTTTTGTAAAGTTAAACTGGTGTGCAGACAGTGACTAATTTTAATACCTAATTCGAATTTGAATGGCAATCAAACAAAAATGCATTCAGCAAATTTATCTATTAAGATAGAAAATGTGTTTTCTTTTTATCTGATTTTAGTTTTAAAATGACAAAGTAGAAATACCAGAGGATAAGCGGGATGATGTCTGTAAGCCCAAAGGGCTCCTAATACGCGGTAAAATGGTTATATTAACCTTAGGGCATAACTATACACGACGATTATTAGTTCTAAAAACTCACTATCAACTACATACCTTACCATCAGATATTCTTACTCTCATATAGTAAAGTCAACATACCTCCTTCGGCATCAGTTACAATTGCTGGAAAATTTCCTCGTTGTGCAACACCCATCCCCGTTTCAGTTTCAATGGTCTTGGCTTGAAGTTGCTCTCCACAGGCGGCACAATATATTCTTAATGCATAGGCTAAAGAAAACACAATATTTCAATATGTCTGAAACTCCTATATAAATTAGCTAATTCTACCTGGTTCACCATGTTGAAATAAATCGATACCTAACACGATATTAATAAAAAACAGTTCAAATAAAATCACAGAAGGGAGTTTAATTTAGGATTTCTTTTACCTCTTAATTCTTCTTCTCGTGATACTTTTAATAAATTAATTAATTTCAGAATGAGAAATAATAGAGCAATAAATATTGCAACCCAAGCTATCACAACTGCGGCGGTGCAAAGTGCATTCAATAAACCCTAGATGATAAAAATATTTTTTTTGTTTAGTAGTTACAGTTATATAACATAACAACGTTTATTTTGTGATACATACTCTCCAACTTTCACCTTGTGTGATATTATAAATTATTGACCAAAATCGTGTAGTACCATCAGATGGTCTCCATGAACCATCAGGTAAAAATTCTACTGATCGTCGAAATATTGGCACAGCAAATATTCCCCACAAACCACCACCAATATGAACTGAAATCAGGATACACATAATCATGTAGAACAAGTATACACTGTTAATAAACTATATACCAGCAGCTGTTTCAACAGGATCATCAATATGTAATCTTGTCAATAATTTACTCCATATTAGAAAACTGAATGCAGCAATCAATCCAATAATAACACTTGACCACGGATTGTATGTAACTGCGCCACCAGCCACTGCTACCTAGATAAATGAACATTATTCGACAAAGATAATAGACACTTATCCAGTTTACACGTACCATTCCAGCCAAGATTGAATTTACCGTTGATAAAAATACTCGTCGTTTCAAATGTCGCGCTGGTTTTCTTATTTCTAAAACAATAGATGTTAATCATTCATAAAAATTTTATTACGAATTTGTTTGTCATTTTTACTTTCAATTAGACGTTGTAAAATATAATATACTGCGCCCGATGTTGCTCCCGATAATAACGTATTTATTAAACCATGTCCAACGCGATCACCAAATGCATTACCAGTTATTCGATGATCGGCTCCAGAATTCAAGACAAAAAATCCAAATGCAACAAGTATAGCTCCAACAGATGTGATCTGAATAAGAACAAATACCTTTGGTAGAGGAAGAATGACATATTATCCACTAACTTACCGGTATACTATGACCAAACAGTGGCAATGATCTTGGTTCAAAACGACCAAATCTCGGACCAAGAAATGCTGTTCCAATCAATGCTGCAATACCAGCCGTTAAAAATACAATTGCACTTCCGCCATAGTCCTAAAAAAATTATTATTAAAGATAACGGTCTAAAATAGAATAATATGCCATTTTTACTTACTCGTGCACCAATTGTATTTCCTAGCCAACCATATTTTCCCCACATCCAATGAGACAAAAATGGATAGACAAATCCTAAAATACATTAGATTATTTTTATTAGAACAGTTTGAAGTTAATATTTACAGCATTTACCAGCCATAACAAATGAAAATAGAACATAAACTGGAACTCGACATCTTTCAGCGAATGCACTTGCAGCAATATTTGTGACCAAAAATGCCAACATATAATGATAGAAATAATGAATGTACGGATCTTGATTATTTAAATTATACACAGGATTACTATTTGTATAATTCTCAACACCCGGTCTTAAATCTCTATCACCAAATCTTTCACTAGCCCAAAATTGGTAACCCAAAATAACATTGGCATTTTGACCGAATGCAAAAGCATAACCAAATATCCAATAGGCTAATGCCGTTGTTACTTAATAGAAGAAAAGAAGTTAGGAGATCAAATTGATATGAATTTAAAAGAAATCTAAATAACATACTTAATATTAAAAGTGTTTTAAATAAACTATGTCCAGCATTTTGACTTCTTACACCACCAGATTCAATAAGAGTATAACCACAACTCATAACTAAATATAAAAATTAATCAAAATAAATTTATAAATAGATGCAAAGAAGACAAAATAAAGCTTACGAAATATAACAACACCATTAAAAAGAAGAAAAAAGCTTTCAATAGCTTTTTCTAATTGCTCAGCAGTTGCGACCATAATTTTGTTTAATAATGTTTAATAAATATAATTCCTTGCTGTTGAATAAGACAAATATCTTTATTCACCACGAAAATTCTAAACAAAAATGAAGAAATATTAATTTTATAGAATTTAAATATATCTGTGAATAATCCGTATGATCAAATATAAACTATAAAAGATTTTCGTCACATTTCAGTATTATATTCACTTCTACTACAGACATATTCTATGTTACTTTTTACGATCGAAAAATAAAAGTATTAAATATAACAAATCATTTATCTTCTGGAAATTATTCAGTATACTCAAGTCCTAATTCTAGATCGTAGTATATAAAAAAAAATTTATTTTATCATACGATAAGTCTTATACTAGCTTTATCGTATCGATTGTACACTAATCGTCTGTAAAAACCGTAAATTAAGTCTCACAAATTCATTTACATAGTCTCACTTAAAAAACAAAAGATAAAATCGACCTGATGTTGAACAAGAAACTCAAAATGTGAATATGGATTCAAAGCTTCTTAGATTTAATGCAATAATGCATACGTATTCTGTAGACTTTTCTCATGATCATTGTTCAGTTTTTAAAATCGTGTATCTCACTTATATTGTAAAACTCCAGAGCAAAGTTTCCCATTTTCGAAAGAAGGAAATTTTTTGTTATAAAAGAGTATATAAAATAATCTTTTCTTCTTCTGATCATCGATAGACTCGTTTAAGTCTTAGGATGACCTCCATTTTGATATTTTAAACGAAAAAAATTACTTACTTGTTCTATTCCATTGTACATATCACTTCTTTTTTTTTTGTGGATCAGTTAGCTCTTTCTCTCTCTGCAAATCATTTGTGTATGCTGCTGAATTCTTTCTGTATCCACCTGTGGTATGTATAATCATAAACAGAAGTATACAAAGAAAAAGAAAAGTATAATGATTTTAATCGAAAGAATGTTTGGATTTTCCACAATGTATGATAACATTCCGGAGATTCTCTTGTTAAAAAATATATACATAACATTGTTTTTCTAATATTCAATTCGAGGTATATTTAATATATAGCACATCTTTTGTTCAAGTTACTTTCATACAGATAGGATAAAAAAGGTAATATAGTCAGTTCTAACCAAATAAATGAAACAAGTGACTTGAACACTTATTTACATGCAGTAGTAGTCTTTCTTGACCGGATAATTTAAGAGATTTGTGTGTGAGTATATTTATGAAATACAGACACAATGCAAGTGATTGATTATAAACATGTGACGCTCGTTATCCACTAACTAGTAACATGATACACATACAAAATGAAAATATGTTATCAATTCTTCTAATGTGAGTAACTGACTACTGTTTAAAAATAGAGTGTAAATTGTACACATCCACAGAGAGAAAGAGAGAGAGTGTGATGAAAAAAATATTAATTCCTTAAAGAACTAAAAAAATGCATCCGAAAACAAAATTATTCAGAGAAATTTATCTTTTCGTTGTTCCACTGTTTCCCCCCAATATTGTTATTCTAAGAAAGAAGTAAAACTTCAAGACATAGTTTATTTACAAAACTGTCAAATGTTAGTACTATACGAAAGAAGAACAAACTAAAAATAAATGTGTACATGTTTTTTTGTGGTTTTGAGTTATTTTTTTTTTCTTCTTCTTCTTCTATCTCTCCTGATAAAAAAAGTCTTAAAATTTCTTAATGATAGACCATGTACCCACTACACAGTCACGGTTACTGCGAAGAAAAACCTTTAACTGAATGATAACAAAAAGATTTATAGACGTCTAGAAATATTTTTTTTATTTTATAAATTGCAAAATTTGATTTAAACTTTTAGAAATTTCAATTTATTTGGACAAATATAATTTTCATACACTGATTCATGATTGATCTCTAATTATATCCTCTCAATGATAAAAAAATTAGTCTAAGTGAAACTATTCTAGATTGAAGAGTTTAAAAATATGGTATTTATTCTGATATAGGCGTTCAATGTTATAGTAAAGTAGTCAAGGTTATAAAATGTATAAAATTTGCAAGAGGATAAAAATTGTCTAGAAAGTTGTTGTGTACATTTTTAATGCTAGTAAAAAGTGTTCTTAAAACTTCTATGAAAGTTGGACGGATAGATCATGATCTAATCAGACGTATAATCTGTTTTAGTCTCTTTCTGTTTCTTAATTTTTGATCAAATGAAATTACCTGTTTGTTTCTGTGAACGATGAACTAGAATGTTTTATTTTGTTCTATGCAATATTCTTTATTTAGACATCAATCTATTTTTTTCGCCTTCATTTTTATTTTAGAAAAATGTGAAGATGAGCTTTTTCTTTTTCTCCTCTCTTTCTGTATTTTTCTGATATGGAGAATTTATTTGTTATTGTTTAGCCTGTCCATTTTTTATTTGCTTTTTTGTGTCTAGAAGAAGAATGGATATTTATTCTTTTTTCTTTATTGTCAAAATCACGAAGAAGAAGTGGAAAAATGTTTATGTAATGTCGATATGATAATATAAATGATATTTCAATTTGTTTCATTTTCATTACCGGCTACATCTTCATAATATGAATAACAGAATTAAACTATAAGAAGACGATGAGAGTCAAAAATAAATTCTATAATAACTGCTATATATATGCATCTACTAAACAATGTTTTGATCTTTTTGTGATAAACGGAAAACAGTAGTAAATCACTTCCGAACTGGATCATTAGTCAAAAATTCAAGTAAAATCTATAATTTTCATTCTCTACGAAAAAAGTCACATTTTTAAAATTCTATTACACTCAAATTTTTTATATATTTATAACTCATATCAATACAATGCCCAAAGCACATCCAAATCAAAATCAAAATAATATTGAACAAGAGAAAATATTACATAGACTGATCACTGAAAAAGTTCAACAGAAATTACATTCTGATATAAAACATTTTATGATGAAATAAAAAGAAAATCGTGTGGATATATTCTATGTTCAGATTTTTTGTCTTCCGAAAGAGAAAAGAAAGACGCACAAAAGAAACTGTTTTTTAGGAAAAACGATTGACACAAAAGAAATGTAATAATTAAAGGATATCTGTGGAGTGTTATAAATTTGAATTTTTTCTATTAACAAAATGTACTTTCTCATTTCAACGATCAATGGAAACAATGTACACGTTTTCCAATAAATAGAAGAATTTTATCTGACTTAAATATTAGTGGAGACAAATACGGATCGGATTCAAGAGAAAGAACATAGGATAGTAATTTCTTTATTCTTGTCATCCGTGTATGTTATTCTTATTCACACCGATTCAAACATTGGTCGATCACTTCAAATTTTGAAATACAAGCTTAACTTTATTTTCGATATTCTATCCTTTAATCCGACTAAAAAAAGGCAGATTTTCAGTAACTCATATTCAGTGCCTTTTCCTATTAGAATCTCTAAATAATTCGATCACAAACAGAGAAAAAAAAAAACAGATCACTAACGTACAGTTTCGAAATGTAAATAATCTTCTTTTCATTTTTTTCTACACTATTGACTGTCATTTCGTTGTTACATACATATATCTCCAACAAAGTTACCCTATTTTATTTTATTTTTACATGGTTGTTGCATCCGCTTCAAGCAGAGTCCATACCATACCATATCATACCATATAGATATTTTATGTAAATGAATCTTATAGTCTTTGTACATACACACACACAAATATGACGTAATTGGATCAGAGAAAAAAAAAAAAGGGCAAACAGCCTCAAAAAATATTAAAATGAGAGAAATCAAATTGTGAACCGTTGAATGTAGTTAAGCAGAGAAGAACACGTAATGATGATAATCATGATGATAAAAAAATTATCGTACAATAAACAAAAGTGTAGAGGTGCACTATATCTGTGTTATACTCGGACAGAACGACAAGAAGAAAAAAAATACAACTAAAGTCAACTATTTATGGCACCAAACAATTATTTGAAGCACATATTTCAAATTCTTCTTTTTCTTTTCCCCTCTCTCTCTTTTTCTCATACACCTTAAAGCTATTTTTTCTTCTTCACTATTTTTATTTAGTAGATACAACTATAGAAACAATAAAGAAAGAAATATGTATTATCTAGACCGTAGATTTCTTAAGTCGATTAGTGTACTTATGTGTATAAAATATTATTCACAAACCAACATTGATCGGTCATAGGCGTGAAAAAGTTTTTTACTATAGGAAAAATGGTTATAACAAAATGTTTTTGGATTCTCTTGATTTTTTTTCAAGGAAATTCAAGACAATTTGCATGATAAATAATGATAATGTTCAAAAAATCGAATTCAATTCATTGAAATTGTATTTATCCTTTTTCTACTGTACTATTTATGGCATAATTTAAAAAATACACATAATGTATGATTATTATTTTAAACAATCCATGTTAAAGGCAGACATTGAACTAATGATTTATCACGATATTACACTTCAATATGTATGCTATAATGTGTAATTCTTGATTGGGCAATTTTAAAATAGTTCTTTTCAAATAAATTCAAGATCATTTTTCTCAGTCTAAAGATCATGTCCTTGTGCGAACAATAGTTAAACTAACATAATCTTATTGTAGAACAAAAATAATTACATGTATAGAAAAGAAAGGAAACAAATAACAATATACTCTATTAAATTTTAATCATGTTACAGATGCATGATGAAACAAGGATTCTAATGTGTTAATTCCGATTTGTATTGATGGTGTTAATGATAATGACGAGAAAAGTGTTTGTTTAATGTCATTTGATTACTCTCTCTCTCTCTCTCTCTCTCTCTCTCTCCAAGTAGAAAACCAATAATGCTCATCTTTTTTTTTTGTTTTTGACAGAAAAAAATAGAAGAATCGCGCTCGCTTCAATATATTCACAAACAAGAACTATGTAAAACCGTTTTCTTAACGAAACTTCTTATGAGAAAAAAAAAAATATTGATTTGATTAATCGACATTTGCATAATTGTCTGATTAGAAACAGAAATGAAAGGCGAAAAATGATTGATGATTAATTTATCTACACATTAAATGTATCTTCTCTAGTGTCCGAAACGCAGAGTATCATAGTAATTCCACTCCGTTTCTTTTCACTCTTCGGATCATTAGCAACATAAAAGACTAGAACCTGTAGAAAAAGTGTTCTTACATATAATGAGAGCATGTCATTCGACACTAAGATCCGTACCATTTGAAGTTTTCTACTTCACTTTCATAGTTATAGAACTATTTTCTAGAAATTATCAAGAATATATTAGGCAAAGGATCAATGCCTTGTTTGACTAGCATATGCTGTGGTATGATATTCATATTGTATTTAACAATCAACATTGTATTATATCGTATAGAAAAAAGGGCAATTTGAACAATTTCTACTTAATATTGTATGTATATGATAAAAGCTATAGTTAAAAATAATCAAGCTATTGTACATGGTCGAGGTATTGATCCGTTATAAATAGAGGGAACATGTTCTAACATATGAATTAGATAAAACGAAGATGTTTTTTTTGCTTTTTCTATTTTTTTTTTTTATCAACTGTTCAATCTTCAAACG